TCTTATGTTCTTATGTTCTTAAGAGGGACTGCAGGAGGTTTTGTATTCTGTGAAAAAGATATGCCAAGAGCGACTAAGACATTCACAAGAGATTGGCAGATTCAGGTGGGTTGCCGTGTTGGGCTGAAGCAGCAGAACAAAGTTGGAGTCCAGTGGCACCTTGAAGACCACAAAAGCTGCGGTCACACGGAGCATTAGCCACGCTACAGAGACGGAAGATAGGCGGATTTTCCGGGCGTGATCACAGCGCCACATCTGGGAAGCGTAGAGCTCCCGTGGCTCACCCGAGGCTTCCCGACGAAGATGCGGGGTAAAAAAACTAGTACCTCCGAGGTACTAGTTTCTGGAAACCGCGGGGCAAGGGCGGGTGTCTGATCACGTTTCTGGTGGCATCCGGCGCCCGCCCATGTCCCGTCGCAAAAAGTTTTTTTTCCCCCCCAAGCACCCAACGGAGCATGCAAACACTTGGGTTAAAAAACAACAACAACCCTGCTGATCCGCTTCTTTGCCACACCACAGGAGTGACGTATGATCGGCACCTCCACGGCACCTCCCCCCCAACCACGCGACGTCGGCGGGACGTTTGATCCCACTGCCACGTGGTAGTTCACTCCGGGGTAAACAGCCACGCCTCCCCCCACGCTATCCGGCCCGTGTGACCGGGGCCAGTGTTATTCTGGGTAGAAGCTTTCCTGTACATGCTCACTTCTCACTGTACATGCACATGGAAGCTTACCCCCAGAATGAAACTTTGTCGGTCTTCAAGGTGCCACTGGAGTCAAACTTTGTTCAAGAGATTTGCAATTACTGATTTGTTTGGAATGTCAAGAAAACGATGAATAGAATTTGCAGGTGAAGGTGATCAGTGTTACAAGTTAAATGCTTGTGTAGATTTTGTGGCGACCTTGTTTTCATAAATGAGATTTTTTAGGCTTGTGACATTCTTTTTAATATATTTTTTCCGCAAAGCGACCCGTCTCCAGGATGAAGGGGAAGACCATTTTGGGAGGGTCCGGATGCAAGCCACGGTGAGGGAAGTCCCCCTCACTGAGCCAGGACCGCTTGTAGGCAAATTGTCCTTTCGGTTACTGTAAGAAACAACCTTCCTCGGTTTCTTCACGTCACACCTCCTGGCTCCACGTCTTCCTTTGCTGGTTCCCTGTCAGTACAATCCTAAGGTCACTTTCCTGTGAGTAAGCTCCATTGAATACACCCAAGGAGACCCGCATAGGATGGCACTGAGTGAAGACCAGTTCTGGCATAAGCATTTTTGGTGGTGGAAAGTGCGGTCAATTGTCAGCCACAGGCATAACAGGCCGCACCCAACAGCAGAAACTCATTAGCATAGTAGGCCACACCCTGACAGCACAGCACATTAGCATATTAGGCCACACCCCCGTGTCACCAGAAGTGTGGTCATCCAGCCACACCCACCTTTTGCTTCTTATTCTGTTTACCTTGTTTGTTGTCAAAACCCAGGGCCTTTTTTTGTAGCAGGAACTCCTTTGCATGTTAGGCCACACACCCCTAATGTAGCCAATCCTAATGAGTTCCTGCTGTTGGGTGTGGCCTGTTATGCTAATGAGTTCCTGCTGGGCGTGGCCAACTTGGGAGCCAGCCGGAACTCCGTTCCTGTACGTTCCTGCCCAAAAATAGCCCTGGTCAGCCAACTTATAGTGGCCCCGTAGGGTTTCCGAGGCAAAAGACCTTCAGAGGTGGTTTGCCATGGCCTGCATCTGCAAAGTGACCCT